CGGGACACCCCGGTCCACTCTTCCCTCATTCACAACAACCACCCACAGCCCCACGGTATCTTCTCCTGTAACTGGCGAAGGTGCAACACCTGCCTATTTACCTCCTTCCTCCCCAGTACCCCAGGGCCCAAACATACCTTCCAGGTGAAGGAACACTTCACCTGCACTTCCCAGAATCTGGTCTACTGCATTTGCTGCTCACAATGTGGTCTCCTCTACACTGGGGAAATGAAGCGTAGACTGGGTGACCGCTTCACAGCCCATCTATGTTCTATTCACAAAAAAGACCCTGAGCTTCCAGTTGCCTGCCACATTAACACACCATCCTGTTCCCTGGCCAACATCTCTGTCTCGGGCTTGCTGCAGTGTTCAAGTGAAGCTCAGCAGAAGCTGGAAGAATAGCACCTCATTTTCTGCTTGGGGACCCCGCAGCCCTCTGAACTCAATATCGAATTCAATAATTTTAGGGCCTAAAGTGTCCCATCTCCCAGCCCCTAACCCCACACACCTGGCCTTGTCATCACATAGCGTGCCATTACACACTACCTATTGTTAGTCACTAACAGTCTCCATTAACTACTATTCACCCCCCCCCAGACAGATCGTTATCCACTCCTTTGTCTAATCAACTGCTCTTTTCTCTCTTTGGGCTCTATCCCCACCCATCGTTTACTCCTTCCCCCTCCCCTATCCCTATCTTCTGCATATAAACCGACGTCTTCCCAGCTACCATGAGTTCTGTGGAAGGGTCACTGGACCTGAAACGTTAACTCCGATTTTTCTCTTTACAGATGCTGCCAGACCTGCTGAGCTTTTCCAGCAATTTCTGTTTTTGAACAGTTTTCTTGGTCCCAGCAACTTGGTTATTTGTGAAAAGAAAGTGATTGGCCAAGACTTGAAACCTCTAATTGTATCCCCTTAAAATGATCTGATTGGCTTTGAGAAATTGCTGACAGATGAACTGGACACCAAAACACACTTTGAAAAGACACATTTTTCATTCCTTTCATGATTGTATTTTAATTCATTCCTCGGATGTGGCTATCACTAGCATGGCTGGCATCACTCAACCACAGGCACCCTTGAGAGGTCGGTAGAAGTTGGAGGTTTAGAAGGTGTGGCCCAAAAATGATGCAAGTTGCTTCAGTGCCAAACAGCATAAGTAGCAAGTGATGGACAGAGCTAAATGATCTTACAACCAGTAGATCAGATTTAAGCTCTGCAGTCATGCCACATCCAGTTGTGAATGGTGGATGATAATTGACAACTCACTGGAGGTGGAGTCTCCACAAACATCTCCATCCTCAATGATGGAAGAACCTAATGCATAGTGCAAAAGATAAGGCTGAAGCTTTTGCAGCAACCTTCAGCCAGAAGTGCCGAGTGGATGATCCATTTCAGCCTACTCCTGTGGTCCCCAGCATTACAGATACCAGTCTTCAGCCAATTTGATTCACTCCATGTGATGTCAAGAAACGGTTGAGGCACTGGACTCTGCAAAAGCTATGGGCCCTGACGACATTCTAGCAATAGTAGTGAAGATTTGTGCTCCAGAACTTGCCGCTCCCCTAGCTAAGCTGTTCCAGTACAGTTACGGCACTGGTATCTACCCGGCAATGTGGAAAATGCCATGTATGTCCTGTCCACAAGAAGCAGGACAATTCCAACCCCGCCAATAACCACCACATCAGTCTACTTTCGATCATCAGTAAAGTAATGGAAGGTGACATCAACAGTGCTATCAAGCAGCACTGCTCAGCAATAATGTGCTCAATGATGCCTAGTTTGGGTTCTGTTAGGGCCACTCAGCTCCTGATCTCAGTACAGCCTTAGTTCAAACATGGACAAAACAGCTGAATTCCAGAGGTGAGGTGAGAGTGACAGCCCTTGACATCAAGGCCACATTCAACCGAATATGCATTAAAGAGTCCTAGCTAAACTGGAATTAATGGATATCAGGGAGGAAACTCTCCACTTAGGAGGATGGTCATGATTGTTGGATGTCAGTCGTCTCAGTTCCAGGATATCTCTGCAGGGGTTCCTCAGGGTAGTGTTCTAGGCCCAACCATCTTCATCTGCTTCATCAAAGACCTTCCCTCCATCATAAGGTCAGAAGTGGGGATATTCGCTGATAATTGGACAATGTTCAACACCATTCAAAACTCAGATACTGAAGCAGCAACAGGATATGGACAATAACCAGGCTTGGGTTAACAACTGGCAAGTAACATTCACACCACACAAATGCCAGGCAATGACAATCTCCAATAAGAGATGATGTAGGTTCCGCCCCTTGATATTTAGTGATGTTACCATTACTGAATCCCTCATTACCAACATCCTCAGGCTTATCATTGACCAGAAACTCAATTGGATTTACCACATAAACACAGTGTTTACAAGAGCAGGTCAGAGGCTAGGAGTACTATGGCAAGTAACTCACTTCTTGACTCTCCAAAGCCTATCCACTATCTAAAAGGCACCAGTCAGGAGTATGATGGAATACTCCCCACTTGCCTGGATGGGTGCAGCTTCAACAACACTCAAGAGGCTTGACACCAACCTTGATAAAGCTGCCCACTTGATCAGCACCACATTCATGAGCATCCACTCCCTCCATCACTGATACTCAGTAGTAGCAGTGTGCACTATCTACAAGATGCACGACAGAAATTCACCACCAATCCTCAGACAGCAGCTTCAAAAGCCGGGACCACTTCCATCTAGAAGGACAAAGGCAGCAGATTTATGCAAACACCACCACCTGCAAGTTCCACTCCAAGCCACTCACCATCCTAACTTGGAAAATATATCACCATTCCTTCACTGTTGCTGCGTCGAAATCCTGGAATTCCCTCCCTCATGGCATTGTGGGTCAACCAAAGCAAGTGGACTGCAGCAGTTCAAGAAGGCTGCTCACCACCACCATATTTGAGAGGGGCAACTAGGGATGGTAAATAAATACTGGCCAACCAGCCATGCCCATGTCAAATGAATGAATAAAAAAAGCAAAGTATTCTGCCATAACTCAGACCTGTGGTTTGTAGATTGCGGAGAGGCTCTTGGGAGTTAGTGATGAGCCATCTCTGATAGTAGGAACTTCAGATGCTGGAAAATCTGAGATAACAAGGTGTAGAGCTGGATGAACACAGCAGGCCAAGCAGCATCAAAGGAGCAGGAAGGCTGACGTTTCGGGCCTAG